GGCACAGTGGTAGTTTTGGGGCATCAGGAAGCCTGAAGGCTGCTGACACATGGTACCAAATCCCCTCTAATTCCTTTATAAAGGAGGAATTTCTTGTTATTTCCTTTATAAAGACTCTATAACGGCACCATCTTTATTCAAGAGTGGTATGGAAGTATTCTTTTTTTTTAAAATGTAGGAGTATCGCTATTTATTCAGCCATTGATTAGGTTGATTGAATTGGGCATGAACTCCACCTTACTTTTTTCCTTCTTTTCTATAAATTTATTTATTGAATCACCGTGAGAGCAGTTACAAGGCTTTTGGGTTTAAGTCTCAGTCATACAATGATGAAACATCTGTCCCTTCACCAGTGCCCAATTTTCACCACCAAAAACACCCCCTTCCCAGACCCTCCCCCTACCTGGGGGGCAGATGATTTCCACATTACTCTCCCTCCACTTTGATTTCATTCAATATTTCAACCCCAGACCCACCATTATTATTTGGGATTTTACCCCAACACTCAGATCTGCCGAAAAGGCACACATAGACAATTTGTTTTATATTTCTGGTTATGAATAACATATGATGTCATGCAGTCGCAGTAGTGACCGCAGGATTTTGGAATTCTGAAATTTTAACAATGAAATCTGGAGGGATTTCTACCAAAACCCGCTGGGTTCTGAGATTTGTTCCTGAGTTTCTAGGATCATGGCCCTTAAGCAACCTGATTAGGAGCCAGAGAGGCCGTTCGTGGGCGGTGACTCAGGGTCTCCGGGCAGGGAGGAAAGGGCCGGCTCCACTCCCATCCTGTGAGTCCCTGTGTGTCTGTCACTGCGGGGCCCAAACCTGACTGTCCAATGGCCTCTGGAGGATGGTGGCCACCGAACTGTCAAGGGGGAGCAGGCGGAGGGATAGCACCCTTTCCCCCCTGGATGGCCCGGCGCCAGTAACCTACTGTGGGGAGCAGGGGCATCTCTGCCAAAAGCCGCTAGGTTCTGAGATTCGTTTTTGAGTCTTTGGCATCATGGCCGTTAAGCAGCTTGATCAGGAGTCAGAGAGGCCTTGCCTCCAATGATATAGCTGAGCCGGAGATGGTTTGTGGGTGTGTCTCCCACATACCTAACTTTTGGCCTTTACTTTCTTGGTAAACTTGACCCCAAGTTGTTGGTGTCTGGCCAAAGGCACAGCAGCAATTTGGGGGTTTTCTAGAAGTCTGAAGGCACCATCAGGCTGCTGATGCACTCTCCTCACAGGTACAGATTGACCTGCTGGCGGCACCATACCCCCTGAAGTATTCTTGATGTGAGGATTACTGTTAATCAATATATAGCATAGAATACTATTATTTTGGCTCTTTTGGGGGTCACAGCTGGCAATACTCAGTGGTTACTCCTAGCTCTGCTTAGGAATTAGTCCTAGCAATGGGCAGGGAACCATATGGGATGCTCAGGATCAAACCCAGGTGGGCTTTGTGCAAGGCAAATGTCTTACCCATTGTACTATTGCTCTGGCTCCTAGCATAGTGTATTACTTGTATTAGCTTAGTAGAATGCTAAAGTAACTGAGTAAAGCACGACCTAAACTATTATTCATGGCAGAGGCTGAGATCATAGGTGGTGGGGGCTGGGGGAGAAGATGGTGTTCAGTGGGAAGGTAAGTATATGAGAAACAAACTATAAAAGCAGTGGTCCCAGAGACAATATGCAGGGGGGCCTCAGAGCTTTCTCTTGGGGAGGATAACATTGTTCCTCAACTAATGACCTGGCCTCCTGCTTCTCAAGTGCAGACCAGAAAACCCCAACTGAGAGGAGAGCAACCTCAAGGAAGTAGCTTCAAAGGCAACATGCTACAGCTACTTTGGCCATGGAATTTTCCCAAAGGCATGTCTACTGTGGGACCACCTGCCTCAGAACCCTGTCTGGGGTTTGTCACATCATCTCCGTTCCACAACCCAAGAGTTCAGAACCGTTGTAAGTAAGTGTGTGTGTGTGTGTGTGTGTGTGTGTGTGTGTGTGTGATAATTTGGCTGGAGTTTTTCCTGGTAGAGAATTGTGGAGTGGGGAGTGGTCACCTGAAAAAGCACCCTTATTTTTTGTTAAGTTATTATTCTTTTTTTGGCTCCTTTTTTTAGGGAGGTGGGGTGAGGGGAGGGAGCAAACCCTGCAGTGTTCAGGGGTTACCCCTGGCTCTGTGCTCAGAAATTACTCCTGGTAATTTCTCTGGGGACCGTATGAGGTGCCAGGAGTGAACCTGGGCTGGCTGCTTGCAAGGCAAATGCCCTAATGGGTGTATTATCTCTCTGGTCCATTTTGTTCAGTTTATAACGTTGTGTTGACACAACAGTGATACTGAAGAATGAGCTGCTTAAGCCTTTCACTGTACTAGGAAGAGAGCCGAGATTCATATCCTCTCTTTCTTAGCTGACTTTAGTTTCACAGAAACTAGATAGGCCATCACCTTACTGATTACAGGTCAGAGACAACACAGCAAGCAAAGTGTTTTTGCTCCTCCAACAGTAAATATTATTGAATATCTTTCCCCTTGCCTGTTATTGCCAGAGCTCCTGTTATATCTCTGCTGATGTCAGCGTCAATCTCTGACCTTGCAGCCACTGCTCTTGCCATCCATTCCTCAGAAAGCTGCCACAGAATTAATGCGCAATCAGGTGCATATTGCGTGCACTGCAGGCAATTCGCGGGGAAGGATTTGGGCCCACACCGGGAGGTTCTCAGGGGCTGTTCCAGACTACAATGCTCAGGGGTCATTCCCAATGGTGCTTGGGGGAAGATACAATGCAGGGGGTCAAACTTGGACTCCTTACATAAAGCATTCATGCTGGTCATTTGAGTCATCTCCACGGTGCCCTATTTAATCTTTTTAATTTTATTTTTGCTTTTGACTCACATTTTGCTGTGCTCAGGGCTTTCTTCTGGCTCTGCACTCAGGGATCATTCCTGGTGGGTCTCAGAGGACCATATGTGATACTGGGGATCTAATCTTGGTTGGCTGCATACAAGGCAAGTATCCTACCTGTGGTACTACAGCCCCTGTGTGCAATTTTCTTACATCTTCCAGTTTCCTCAGGGTAATGCATGAACTTCTGGTGCAGTATCTTCCGTGAATGGCCTTCTGAAAATGTGTGCTTCCCTTCATTCATTCATAGCTTACTTTTATGAGTACCTTCTGTATGCTGGACACTAAGCTAAGCGCATCAGAGAGGCTGTTTCACATAATCCTGCAAATAGCGCCATCCCCAACATCACCATTTTATGGAAGATGGAAAGAGGTTCCCAGGGAACACACAGGAGACCTAGAGATGTGAATGTACTCTGCCTGGCAGCACACCCAACTGAAGGTTTGGTCCTGTGCAAAGAGTACTTCTCAAGTAGGATGGGGTGGAGGATTTGGGGAAGAAAGCAGTCGTGTTTCAAAGTAGGGTGCTGGGGATGAAGGGAGGCTGTCTCCCATCTCTGTCTTCCAGCGTCCGTGATGGGAACTGCACCTGGATTTGGAGAGACAATCCTGGGCCTGGTCTTCAAGCCTTGGCACTGTGTACCTGTATTAAGTTCAGGGAACCCAGACTGCTTCCCTCCTCCTCTTCACCCTCTAAGTACAGGAGGTGCTTAGCAGACGGTTGAGGGGCACTTATTAAGTCTGGCTGGGACCACAGACTTCTCTGTAGGGCAGTCCTTCATATTGACAATGTGGCCTAGGGACCATTGGGGATGTCAGTTGGCTTGTTCAAGAAAGCTGTTTCCTCTCATTTTCTCCTAAGAGCCCCAGAACAGCCCCAGGGAATGGATCCCCCCCATCCCTACCCCAAGACCCTCAGACAGACTGAGGCTGAACCTGCAGGAACTCGCCCACCAGTGCTTCTTTCTGGGTCCACTTCCAAAGTGCCTCTCCTGAGGTTGGGAGAGAATTGGTTGTTCCCTTTCCCATATAGTAAGCATCCGAGGCTCCAGAGGGATCCAGTGGCGGCTGTCCGCCGTCAGGAGCAATCCCGGGACGGACGGACAGCAATCCCCAGGTTGGCACAGGAGGCCCTGGATTCAGCCCTTGGGCCGTCCTGTCCCGGAGTGGGGAAGCGCTATAGCTTTTGGGGTGCCACACTCCGCCGCGTGGCTCCGCCTCCTGATTCCTGGGTCCGCGCTCCTGCGTGAGTGTGTGTGTGTGTGTGTGTGTGTGTGTATGTGTGTGTGTGTGTGTGTGTGTGTAGAGAGGCAGAGTCCCAGCATCTCCCGGTGCCCTAAGCAAAGCACCCCGAATGAGAACGGCCGCTCTCGAGCGACCTCCGGAGGGCCGCGGCGGTTTGGGGGCGCCGTGTGCTCCGAGCCACCTGGTCTTCCCGTCTATTTGCATAGCCGAGACGACTCACTCCCCCCCGCCCCTGCGCCGCGCTCTTTCCCCTCCTTCCCGGGTCCCCTCATCCCGAGCCCGGCTCCCCCCCGACCGCAGACCCTCCTTCCGGGACTCCGGCTGGCCGGCGGCCGCGGGGCGCGCAGTCGGGAGGGACCCGCGGGCGGGAGTCTGGGCCGGGCCGGCCCGGCTGGGGAGGACGCCCGGGGCACTGCCCGGCGCTAACAAAGGGAACCGCTGCCCGGGCTCCTGCGCTCGGCGGGCGGAGCAGACGCGGCGTCGGCGGCCGAGGAGGCAGAGTGAGTCGGGGTGCGGTGGGCGGCGGCGTGGTCAGGCCCTCCCCCCCGGGAGGATGCGCTGGAGCGCGGAGACGCGGGGCCCGGGGATCGGGGTCCAGCGCCCTCCGGGCGGGCCGGCCACCTTTTGCCTGGGGCCAGGCGGGGTGTCCGCCCGTCCGTCCGTCTGTCCGTCCTCCCGAGTCGGAGACCCTCCCGGCCTTCTCCGGGACTCGGCGAGCCTTAGGACCCACAACAAACCCACGTGCGCGCGCGGCCCCCGGGAACCCGGTGTCCTCCCCAGTCCCCCTCGCAGGGAGAGCGCTGGGGGCCGGGGGGCGGAGCCGGGGGCCGCTTTGCAGACTCCCAAGTTCATTGAGGTCCCGTGGGCTGCAGGTACGGACCTGGAAACTGAGGCCCGAGGGGAAGGTGGGGGCACAGGTACCACAACAAATGCACGTGCTCGGGGCGCTGGGCTCGGGGCGCTCCACCCGCGCTTAGGTGCCGCCCTGCGGAACCCGGTCTTTGTCTCCGGCGCTGGGGAGGGATTGGCGCCGGGGGGCTCCGCTGGCGGGAGGAGGAGGACGAGGAGGTCGGCAGAGACTTGTGAAAGGTACCACTTGGGGGCACAGACCCCGCCGCTCGACTGTGCAGGGGAGAAAGAAAACAAGAAAGCCAAGGCGAGCAGATCACCCCAGGCCCACAGTGTGCGTCCCCGCGCCGTGATGCTTTCAGGGGGAGACGTGCGCGGCCTCCGACTTGCATCTCCCCGAGGTTTCTTAGACGTGGAGGGGGGCGAGTTTAGGGCCCGTGGGGACCCCCAGTCCAAAGGAACCTTGTGCGCAGAGCCCCGCACCATTGTCCCCGCACTCCAGCTCCGCCTGCGTGGGGAGACCGCGAGCGCCTCCCCTGCCCGCCCGGAGAAAGTCCAATTTCAACTGCGCCCAGTGCGGTCTGGGGCTTTCCGCGGGCGCTTTGTTTTCTCGGTCCCGGAGCCTCCTCAGCCTGGGTGCCAGCCGTCTTGGTTTGCCCTTGTGTGTTTTTCTACCAGCAAGGCCAGCCGAGGCCTCTCGTTGTAGGAGCGGCCGATTATGATTTTTTTTTTTTTTAAAAAACTTCGTTCTGTTTTAAACGGAGCGAGGTTTCGAGACCAGCAAAGAGAGGGCATTTGGATTGCTCCCCTCCTACCCTCTTTGTTCCGCCGTGCTCAGCTCAGCTCTGCGGATCCTACTTAATCTGGCCTGTTCAGGCAGAAGTTAAACAGTGCGGGGTCTCAGTCAGCCTCCCAGGAGGTGGTGTTGTGGCAAGATGAGATCCTAAGGTTATGCGGGTGGGTAGGTGTGCGCAGGTAAGGGCTGAATCTTCGGGATGATGCCTCGCGGGCATCCCTGGATGAACTGTCTTGGGGGAGAAGGGGAGAGATTCCAGCCTCACTCCAGTCCCTTAGAGTCTAACAGGCAACCATTGTCCCCTGGTACTTTACAGGAAGCAGACTGAGGCAGGGGTGTGGGGTGGTGTTGGGGTGTACCCCTCACTCACCCCAATTTAAACTGGGTGAAATCCACAAGGGAGAAAAGGGCTTGAGTAGGGGTCACTCACTTCTAACAGGCCACATCTCCATGCTAATGACTAAGACAAGGGTGGATTCTATGTCTCCCTTCACCCACAGGGGCACTGAGCAGAAGAGAGTGGACTGAATTCAGATGGGAAACTTCATCCTTCCTGATCCCTCTTGAGAGTTCTGTATTCATTTGAGAAGAGACTTAACAATTCCTTAAGTTCTCTCCCTCCTGGCTGTCCTCTCTACCCCAGTGAAAACAGGACCAGTGAAGAAGAGTGGTGTCTTTTCCCTCAGCTTTTGTTTTGTTTTTTAAAGCATGGGCTGTGGGCTCAACCACACTGGGGAGAAGGTTTTCTTAGAGTTGGCGACCCACAGCCACCTGTGGGAGAACTAGCTTTGTTTTCACTTTTTATTTAAGTCCCCCCGCCCCCCCCCCCATCAAATTCCCACGGAAGTAGCATCTTATTTTTGTACGTGGCAGAGACAAAGCTGGAAAACCAAAAACCCCTCTTAGCTACACTCGGTTCTCTTCTTAGAGTTTCCAGGATGCTTCCTTTTCTTGGTATTTCTGTTTGGCATTGGAGTATGGTTTTTCTCATCAGGACACTTGCCCTACAAGGAATTTCTGTATATCTGGCCATCAACCCTTTCACCTTCTACACGGGAAAACAAGCCACTGAGGGGAAATTACTTGCCAAGGGACCCAGGGCCTGTACTGCCTCTTTTAGTTTATTTATTTTACATAAATGGGACAATGTTGCATCAAATGAGTTGTTGTTGGTACCCCAGAGAAAAGTGTGAGTTGTGATGGTTGTTATAACAGCACCCTTTAAGTCAGAGAGTGAATTCCTTAAGGATTTAAATTGGCTTTGGTTATTAAACAAAGCCATGGATCCCACAGGTAGAGATGGTGAAGAATATAACAGTTATTGGAGATCCATTTTTTTTTGTGTTTGCTTTTGCATTTACTAAAGCCCACTTTAGCCCTGGGCTTCCATGAAAACTCCTGCCCCATGTTTTCCCACCAGGAAGCTGATTGAATATAACCATAAAGCAAAGGACAGTGACAAATTACGAGAGAGGAACTTTACTGCACTCTTTATTGTTACCTGAGCTCTTGAGTTCCGTATTAGTATCTGCATAGGCTTTTCTTGTGGAGTGGAGGATGCTTAGGTCACAGAGACAGACAGAGGAGTGGGTTTGGGCCATCCCTCCTTTCTCCAGAGTTCTTTTAATAACCAGTGGGCTATATGGCATTGTGTTATATTGAGGGAGGCGATCATGTTTCTTTCTCCTGGAATTGTGGGTATCTAGTCTCTTGACGCATGTTTTCCACTGCTCAGACCTTTTGGCAGGCTTGAGTGCTCGCCAACTTTCTAAGTGGTGGAGAACGATGGTGGGAGAATAACCCTATAGGGTAAGCTCTGTGCTTGTAATAGGAGACCTTACCTAGTCATGAGGGCTGTGAATGCTTGCTAATCTATAAAAGGGGCCCTTTAGGTGCTTGTGAAGTGTGTGTAACTCTAAGGTAATTAAACCAATAGTGGAGAGCAATAAAAAGCAAGACCAGAACTTTCACACCCAAGTTAGAGCATTCTCATTCATTCTTTCATTTTGTGTTTATTGGTGCCAGTGGGTCTGGAAGGTTAGTTTTCTCATGCTTTGCCTACAGTCACAGAGAACAAGTGGCCTGTTTGCAGAGAAGCAATGCCTTTCACCCTGTTAAAATATTGTAGTAGCTTTCTAAGTCATTATATAAGGATTGGTTTAGCTTCAGAATAAGTTTGGTGTTTTATATTTTATTTACCATTCTGACTATAAAAATGTGTGTCCACTGAATACACTTTGTAAAGTATAAGAAAAAGCACAGAAAAACAAAAAATTCATATTCGAAGGTAATCACTTAACACTGGGCAATTTTCCTTCTTGCTTTTATTTTGTCACTAAAATTTTCTTTAAATGGTTGCGAGTATAGGATGGATGAATGCTTGCTTTTTTCACTTGCTTTTCTCGTTTAAGCTTCTTCTATACACATGTCATAGTTTACATCTGCGTTAAATCTGTGCCTTTTCATTCATCACCCATGCCAGCTGCTCTGCATCTCCATGGTCGTATGGTCCCATGGGTCCGTTTACTTCAGTGATCCTTTCAGCGAGGGCCTGGAGAGAAAAAAAGACTCCAGCATTCTCCCTCTTCCTTCTCCATCCATGTCTTAAGCATTCAAGCCAGATGCTTACATTTTATTGTTTATATGTATTTTTATTTTAGAAGTCTGAAATCCCATCGGGGGGGGGGGGGGAAGGTTTCAATGTCACTCTTGCTACCTCCCCACAACTTACTTTAACATCTTGGCTTTCTCTTTACAAATGTGTTCACTGAGCATCTCCAGGGTCTTTGATTAATTCAGTCCTCGAGGATTCACGAGCTCACTCTAAACCACAGAAGCAATAAGAAGAGTTAGCTTTTGGGAAGCTCAGAGTGCCGTGGAGGAGCAAGAGACCAGTGCAAGATGCTGTGGGACTCTAAGGAGGCAGGCAGCTGCCCAAGACTGCAGTCTGGGGAAGGCTTCCTGGATGCTGGCCATGGTCAGCCCACAGCTGATTTCTCCCTATTATAATTGACATTATGATTAAGAGTCATGTATAAATCGCTGTGTTCCAGACTTTCATAGGGTAGACTTCTGCAATTGGAATTACTGAGCCAGACTTTATTTTATTTGGTGTTGGGGATGGGGTGGGTTGTGGGGGGGGGATTCTCCCAGGGTAGTTTAGTGGATCACGTGCTTCTGGACATTTTTTCCAGCCCTTTGACCCATCACGCAGACCCTGGGCCACACTTTGATGTGATCATTTCATATTCTGCATAGATTTCATCCTAATTACATATGCAAGTCTTTCTGTTTTTGCTTTCCTTTTTTTTCTTTTTGTTTTTGAACAACACTTGGCAATGCTGGGGGACTCTTCCAAGTTTGGTGCTCAGGGGTTACTCTTGGTGCGACTTGGGGGAACCAAGCAATTGCAGGTACTGAACCTGGGGTTCCCACATATAAAGCGTGCTCTCAGGCCCATTGAGCCCTCTCTCCTGCTCTATTTACACATTTTTGAAAATATCTGAGTATTCTATGTGGGGACAGCAGAAACTAATAATATAGTATTTGGAATTTGAATTCTTGCTCAGCATTACTACCTGTGGAGACTTTTACTAGCTACGTAAGCTCACTATTTCACTAAGTTAAATGGGCATAATAATGCTTGGAAATTGTAAGGATTAAATGGTCCACTGTACTACCAGGTATACAGGAAGCACTCAGTACATCATAGATATGACTGCTATAATTGGGACTTTTGAAAGATTGCAGAAACTATAGAGCCTATTTAAAAAAAATTATTTTAATGGCTGATGATTAGGTAGCTTTCTATGCTGAGGGAAGCAGAAAATTAATTAAAATGGGACTTCCTACTAGGTGACAGACTGAGAGAAATGTTCAGTCGCATGTTGCATTATATTAAAAGTCTTTTCTTACAGGTTGGAAAAACAGCACAGGGGTTAAGGTGCAGCCAGTCCTTGATACCACATAGTCTCCTGAACACTGCCAGGAGTGGCACAAATCTCGCACCCCATTAAAAAAAAGTCTTTTTGTTTTTTGGACCACACCCAAGGATACTAAGGGCTTACTCCTGGTGTGGTACTCAGGAATTACTCCTGGAGATGCTCAGGGAACCATATGGGATGCTAGGGATTGAACCTTGTTTGACTGCATGCAAGGCAAATGTTCTCACTCTGTCCCCAAAAGAATCTTTCCTATTATAGAAAATTTCAGATGGTAAAAAGTAGAAAGAGTGAGGCATATGCAATCACTTATCCTCCACAACGATCAAAACTCAGGGGTTATCCCAAAGTCCACTCCAGATTACTTTGAATTGTATCTCAGACATCGTCTCAACCCAGCCATAGGAATTTTATTGCCATATGTTGCCCAAGTTTTTGTCACCCCCATAAACATTCTGTTTTTCTTTTTTAAATTTTTATTAGTGAAACACCATGAGGTACAG